ACAAGATATGCTCAAAGTTTGTTCTGATTTCATGGACATATTCTAACCGCACAGTTAATTTTCGCGCAAGTGATTTTGGAATGAAATTGCAAAAAGTATCCTTAAACACTTACCAGATGGTGACCCATATTTGGTGGGTAACAATTTGTTCAAAAATGATTTCATTCGACAATTACAACTATGAAATCGAACGGCCCCACTTCATCACTATCCTCATCATAAATCCTCTTACCCATCCTCTTCCTCAGTGTCTGTCTCACCTTCTCCACCAAAGTCATCATCGTGCACCAATCATACGTGTAGACATCACCACATCCACTCACACGACGCATGTGATCCAGCATCATTCGATGAACATACACCTGAGGATGCAGGTGATAATGTGTGATGTGATGTTCGGTGGCGAGATCACCCCTCTCTCGTGACAACACACACATCTCAGTCAACTTCTCCTCCAACATCCTCTCCACATTCACAGCCATCTCCACAATCCACTTGATTTCGTCACGTGTGTCCTTCAGCTGAGTGATGGTGGTGAGTGGTCGGATGTCAGTGAGAGTGTATTTGCCACCACGAGTTGTCTGCCAGCCAATCAGATTCTGACCAATGGCTCGATGACGACGAGCACAGAGCTGAAAGAATGTGTGGAATCCGGGAATTCGGAGATCGTGTGTGTTGCAGTGAGCAGCCAACGAGTCGTATGTGATTGTCGCTGACTGTGTCACATTGATGATCTCATTCAGTTTATTCTCACACTCCTTCGGATATTTCGAGGTCATCATGATTGAGTGCATGGCTGATTGACTAGTTGACTGATTGTGTGATTATCTGATTTGCCAAGTAACTGATATACTGACTAGTTTTGATGTTTATCTGTGAAACATGCTCCGTAACTTTTATTTTAAAGGTGATAATCGAGTGTTGACTTCGTCTTCTTTTGCGATAAGGTGACTGTTAATCATCACTCTCATCATCATTGACTAGGATGTGATTTCATGTTTCATGCGAATTCGTGTGACCGTTACAGCCTTTGTAAATACATCGTATTTCGGTTTAACACTTTTTATAGATTTGACGTTTGCATTAACGTGTGAAACTTGTCTCATCTATTTATTGTATCAGCCTAGGAGACACTTAACTATTCCCAAAGTCTCCAAACCTTCGTCAAACTGCTAAAATTCAACGGAGTTATTGCAATCGGTATTTTCCCAATGATTATCCAAGTGCATGCATTTTAACAAAATTTCTAGTTTCACGGTTTACAAACCACCATTTTGTCTCAAGAAGTTGAATGAATCAGTTAACAAAGTGATATCAGACAGTCACAATCTCTTGGTTATTTTTTACAAGCCGGTTCTTTTCGAATCATCAACATTCACGCTAACTAACTTCGATGACTCACGGATTGACTTATTGCCAGGAAAGTATCTTGCTGACTGAGAATATACAGATGATATGGTCATCCTGAGTAAAGACGCTGATAAAATACCAAATCTTCTGAAAACCTGGAGTAGCAGTCTTCGAATGTTTTGATATGTGAATGACTTCCGTCAAATATAAGATCGTGTTGCAGGACTGTACTGTACCTACTCCTAACTTAAAAATATAGAGTGAAGTGGTAGAATGTATTGACAGCTTCACTTGTTTAGAAAGCTGCATCAGCCCCAGCCGGCTCACTGCTGACGAAATCTTAGAACGGATGCACAAGGCTTCTTTTGCATTTGACAGATTACTCCATCTGTAGTGGTGACATGATATCCGATTGTCTACCAAAGGACGTATGTACTACGTAGCAGTTCGCTTCGTCATCCTTTATAGCCATGAGCAAGATATGGCTATTTAAAGTGTAAGTTCTGAAAAAGTCGACTTTCTTTGATCATAGGGGTCTGCGTTCCATCTCCCGTGTTAAGTGATATTATAGGGTGAGTAACTGTGATGTAAGGCGCTGATTGTTAGTTAAGGAGGGAAAGTTAATCCATGAAGTTGTGAAATTGAGCCACTTGAGATGGCTGCAACATGTGTTATACACGTCTAATCATCGCCTTCCTCGACAGTCAGTGTTAGATGACACAAGATCAGGCTGGGAGAGAGCCAATAACGGTCAAACCAAAACTTTGAATCTGTGCATGAAAACCATGACAATCACTTTGAGCTGCCTATGGAGGTGCAGACTAGTTGGTTGGATCCCTTGTAATTATTATTATTATTATATCCTTTAGTTCCTAGAGGAACATAGGGCTTCAGCTGCGGACCTCCACTGCCTTCTGTTTTCTGACAACTTTTTCACCCCTCTCCAAGCCTGCCCACATGCTTTCATCTCCTGCTCACATGACCTCCTCGAAGTCACCCTTGCATTGTAGACCAACTCGCCGCTTCCCTTACGGGTTCCACCCGAGCCATGGCTTGTCTAGTGATGTCACTTGATGGTTTCCTCAGAGTATGGCCAATCCACCTCTATTTCTTTCTGCCTATTTGTTTCACAATCGGTTCCTAGTTGGTTCGCTCATTCCCAGAGATCCCTGTTAATGATCTTTTCTGGCTGGCCATCTGATCTTGAGTATTCAGCGGATACAGCTGTTAATGAAGGTTTGAAGTTTGTTTGAGATGCTCTTTATGACTCGCCAAGTCTCTGATCCGTATAGTGGCACAGCCTTAACATTGGAGTTGAAAATCCGGATCTTATTTTTGATTCTGAGTGCTTTTGACCTCCAAACAGACTTGAGAAAAATGAAAGCCTGTCTTGCTTTCCCGATTCTGGCTTTGATATCCTCGTCAGTTCCGTCTGCTTGTAGTTGAAACGATGCTTCCCAGGTCGGTAGGTAAAGGAGGTTGTTTCTTTCAGGTTCTTCCCATTTATCCTGGCTGATTGTTGTCTGTTGTTGTTGCTGTTGGTGTTGGCCAGGAATCTTCATCACCTCTGTTTTATCTATGTTCACTGGTAGTTCTATCCTTGATGCTTCTTCTGCCAACTTGTTGCTTTTCACTTGCATATCTTCCAGTTTGTGGGAAATCAGACATATATCATCGGCGAAGTCCAGATCCTTCAAGTATTTTGTGTCAGTCCATTTTATGCCTGTTCCCTCGTTGGTTGCCATTGTCTGTCGCATTATCCAATCGATTGCAATCAGGAAGATCATTGGTGATAGTAGGCAGCCTTGTCGCACTCCCGTCCTCACTTCGAAGGATTCCGTAAGTTTCTCGTTGTGGATTACTTGGCATGCAGCATCGTCGTATAACTGTTGGATGAGATGTATAATTGTCGATGGGACCCCGTAGTAGCGAAGTAGTTGCCAAATCACCTCTCGATCAACGCTGTCGAAGGCCTTTTCAAAGTCGATGAAGTTGAGATAGAAAGGTGACTGCCATTCTAAGCTTTGTTCAATGATGATCCGTAGAGTGGTGATTTGATCAATACATGATTTGTTTCTCCTGAATTCAGCCTGTTCCGGTTGAAGATTTCCATACAGGGCTTGTTTGACTCTCTCCAGGATGATGCGACTTAGTATTTTGGTTGGAATGGACAGGAGCATAATTTCGCGCCAGTTTTTACATTGACTTAAGTCTCCTTCCTTTGGTATTTTGAATAAGTATCCTTTCTTCCAATCCTCAGGTACTTTGACCTCCATCCACGCCTTCTTCAGTAATGGCGTCATGAAATCCGCTGTTGTCTCTGGGTCCATTTTCAATGCTTCTGCTGGGATTCCGTCTGGTCCTGCTGCTTTTCCAGCTTTCAGCATCTTGATTGCATTCAGGACTTTTGATTTGATCAGTGGGGGTCGATGTTCACTGGTAGTTCTGCTTCCGTTGTTGGTATTGTTGGGCGAGTTGTGGGTGGCGGTCGATTTAGAAGTCTTTGAAAGTGTTCAGCCCAGTGTTTTCTCTGCTCTACCTCTTTGGCAACTGACTTTCCACTGTCATCATTTACTGGCTTAATCTGTGTCGAACTATTACCCGATAGACGCCTAGTTGTTTGGTATAGCGTGGCGAGGTCTCTTTTGCCTGCAGCTTGTTCTTTTTCACTTCCCACGGTTTCATAATATTTTCTTTTATCTTTCCTGGCACTCTTCTTCACTCTTTTGTTCAGTGTATTGTAGCTTGCATTCAGCTCCTGTTTTTGTTGCTCGTCAGTTCACTGGACCATCATTGTTTCACTGTCCTTCTCTCTTCTATTAGTTTCCAAGTGTCCGTAGTGAGCCATTGTTTGTTCTGTCTCTTCTTTCTGCCTAGAACTTCCATGCAGGTTTGACTCCACACCGTTTTCAAGTTGTTCCAGTGCTTTTCGACGCTGACCTTTTCTCTGGTGTTGATTTGTGTCTCGGCTTTGTCCTTATGCTTGCAATGAAGATGTCCTTTGTAGCCTGGTCCTTCATTTTTTGAGTGTTCAACTTGGCTTGTGGTCTATTCGCCCTTTTGATGCCAAGAATCAATAACTGGAGACAACTTGTGATATGGCTATTCGCAAAGTCTCATATCTAATGAAGCCTAATATTTTTTGATACCACTATTCTTTCTATTGCACATTTATGTTTATAACTGTTCTTTTGAACCTGTACATAGCTGAAGTATTAGCCATTCGGGATCTGAAACCGAACCTCTGCATTCAAAAGCGATACATACATTCACTCGCTCTACCGTGGCCAGAGTAAAGTACTTACTGTGATCTCTTTTCCCCTGTTTTGTCCTTCTTTGTTTGCTACAAAGAGTGTGGGAAGTTGAAGTGCTTCACTTCTGTGCAAAATCCTCTGTTGAAATCAGTCAGTCAGTTCCTCAGTTATACTTCCTAATCCCGTTCTCATAGGAAGCAGCCATAAAGTAGCATTACTCCAGAACAGACAAAACATGGGCAATACAGTATCAATTTCTTATATCTGTTGTCCTTTTTATGATTAGTTCTCTAATTCATATTATATTACACAACAGTTAAATATGATGTATTACAGGTATGATGTAATTTTTCTTAATTTACGTATATTTTTTTCATATGAATTTTGTACATTAAATCTAATCGCAGAATGGATTACATAAGCTTCTAATTGTCAACTTGGATAAGTAACAAAATTATAAGGAGCAGAGAGAGAGAGAAAAGGTGATATGTATTCGAAAATTGACAGAAAATTGACAGTATGAACATATTGTTCAAAACGGTACATAGAGAAGGACCAATTTAACAGATCAATAAAACGTCAAATTTAATCATGTTAACATTTATTTCACCTTATACTGTAGGCAAATATCTTATTTCCTTCCGCCTCGAACAGGTTTCTTGTTACCACCACTCGCAGCAGCCTCTTTTTCAGCTTCAATAGCTAAAGCTTTCTGTTTACCAAGTGGAGTTTTTCGATACCATGTCTGTGTTGAAATAGAGTTAGTAAAACAAAAGGTTAGGGGTTAATTTCAGATGTGTTATCGGTTGGTTGAATCTACCGACTTCATGGCGAAACAGTATTAATTATAATACCTTTATCCAGACAGTGCTTTTGGCTCCAATATAGAGTTTTCAGCATGCAGTACAATATCGAATGCAATTTTCTCATTACATACTTAGTTGTCCGGGCATAAAATCATCTTTATTCGCCTCCAGTTCTTACTGGTGAGATGCAGCTAAGAAACAACTGAGTATAGAGAGGATGTTCTTGGTTTGACAAGATAATATTCGCTAATGAGTCCATCTGTCTGATTACAACACTCTTAACAAGTTAGTTTAGCGACACCCAACTCGCCCTACTGATAGCTTTTAGTCGCCTTCGTAGTGTAACAATGTCTTTCTCAAGTAGCCTAGTAAGGATCAAGCAGGCGAAGCAATAAATAAATAACTGTAATTCTTTGATCATCGGTGGCAAAATGATTAGGACGCTCGCTGACAGTGCACATGGTCTGGGGTTCGATCCCAGGCCGAAATGGTCGGTCTGCTAAATTCGGGCAGAAAATTCCATACTTGTATTAAAGATACTGTGTGAAATCAAGCTACAATAAAAAAATAAAGAATAATAGGTAGAATTCAGGAAACAAACATATATGAGCATTAGTCAGTCATAGATTAATTGGGACCAAATAAATCCCTGGATTACTCGTTCGTATTTATGCGGTGATATCCTTATCTCGTGATTTGAAGAGCATAGCGTCAGTCTTGCACAGGATACTCTTTGTGCTTTCCCAAGTAATTAAAAAACAGATATCCGGAGGCCCTTTATCTTCATTGGTTTTTTCACTGACACCTATTTGTGTCAACATCTTTCACAAGCGACTCTAGCTATTGAAGCTTCATTTATAATCACTTAACAACGGTTTAATCACATTCATACACTAAGTTACTGAGTCAAATATTCAGTTAAGTCAAAAGAATAATAATTACTCGAGCAACGCTATTTTAAACAAGAAGTATAAATGTGGCCTCCAGTGCATTGGCTTTTGTGACTTATTTAAGACTGTCTTCCACAATTCAATTACAAAATCGTTCAGAACGAGTGAAATAGTCATTATACATCAGTAGGTAGAAACACAATACATATATATTAGTGGTGATATAATTATGGAGTATTATGAGTTGATAATGTACACTTATTATTTCAATGTAGATTTCGTCCTGAACCAACATCAATTAGAGAGATCATTGAAGCCAGGGAGCACTAAACAGCTGTTTCGACCTACTTAGGGACTCTTCGGCCCACCAACATTCAAATCCTGAATCTTTAGGTCACAAGGCGAGTCCGTAGATCATTTAACTACTGGGACGTGACCAATGGCCCATGAATTCCACCTTCTATCAATTTGTCATTTTAATGCGACTACCACCTAATACCATTGGCGAGTAATTACCCTAAATACCCGACCTAGTGGACCTCACTAGAATTCCAGTAAAGTTTGTCTTCTAGCCAGTCTCTAGACACCATCACATTATTTTCCATGAGTTGGTTTGTAGGGATTTTATTTTATTTCACGTTTGGACTTGGATTTATGTCAGTTAGAGAACCATTGGAAACCTGGAAGTACGAACCACTTGTTTCCTCCTAGTTTCCTTCCACCGAAATGCTCACTGTATATTGATTGATATGTTGGCTCCTAGAACAGGTACTTTGATTGCGTGTGAAGATTAGCATGAAGCTATTTTCGGTTAATGGTAACTAGTAGTGAGATCTAGGATGCAGTAGTGCTGAGTTCAAGTCTCAGTAGGGACATTGTCACTCATTGACGAGGCTGATGAGCCTCAAATAGTGTGAAATGCTCATCCTGAAGTTCACTACCTATTCGAAACTAACTAAAATAAGAGTAATACAGAAACCTGATCTTGCTGCCACATAAGACATTTAGACAGTCACTAGGATAACACGCAGTAAGTTGTAGTACATATAATGTTTGACAATGTTCCATTAAGTAATGAAAATTAATTTCATGACTTCTTCACTAGACTTAAAAAGCCTTAGGAACTGTTATCTGTAAACTTAAGAATGAAACGATATCGTGATGACGCAGGATTGACCTGTGTCAATGCACACTACCTTGGACACTGGCTTACAGTTGACAACCTCATTCATCATTATACCTTGATCATTACACACAGACGTGTCTATGAAGACGAAGACTTTGACTGAATTCTGTGATATTATTCCAACAATAGGTGTAGAGGTGTAGGCAGCTTATTTTAATCACAGTAATTTCCTAAAGGTAAAGCTTAAGAGAAATCATAGTTTCCGTCAGCTGTTTGTTTGAAGCAGTAAGATTTATAAAGGTCTCGAACTGGTTTAGCTCTCCGGATTGAGTCAAACTAAAGACACTGCTGGCAAAAATCGGCCTCAGAAGATTGAAATGGCTGTTCTGTTTTTCGATCAAGTGTGCTGATTGATGTAAGGGTCATACATCTACTCATATTAATCAACCAGTAGTATATATCGCTATGCATTTATTACATGTGGTAGGTTTTCGTCACCAACCAACATTACTTAGAGAGATCATTGAGTTTTCAAGATTTAGTATGTAGGTGTTCTAATTGTTTCAGGTCGGACCACGGGTTGATATCAGTTAGAGAATCAGTAGAAACCAGGAAGTACTAGACAGCTGTTTCATCCTAATTTGGGAATCATCAACAGTAGGTACCCACAGCTGGGTTCTAGCCCAGGACCTTCCAGTTACAAGGCACGCTCGTATACCTTTCAGCTACTGGGACCCAATTCAATGGCCCATGAATTCTAACTTCTACCAACTCGTGATTATAGTGCAACCACCGACCAATGTCATCGGTGGGATCCTTCCTCACACTTGACTGAATGGACCTCACTGGTCACGACTTCTCACTAGAGCTGCAGGAAACTTCGTCATGTAGCAAGTCACTAGCGAGCATCAGAATCATTTTCAAGAATTAGTTTGTAAGGATTCTTTTTGTTTCAGGTCAGGCCACGAGTTGATATCAGTTGCCTGAAGTTCTAGTGAGAAGTCGTAACCTGCGGGGTCCATCATGTCAAGATAAAATGAATGCTCACCGAAGGTACTGGTGAGAGCAGAAACGCTGAATCAGGAGTTAGCAAAGTTACAATTCGGGGTTCGCTGAATTCCAGCCCAACTTGCTATTTAACCAAAGATCTTGGTCTCGTAACCTGAAGATCTCAAGTTCGATACGTGGCGGTGGGATTGTAGGTGCGCACTACCGGAGAGTCATTTCCAAACTCGGATGAATTAGCTTCCCGGCACTGTGTGGTTTGCAGTCACATCTCTAACTGATGTTGGTTCTTGATGGAAATCTAACAATTTTAATTCAATCGAGATCTTCACAAATACGATAATCTGATTACTCATTTATGCCTGATTTCTTGATTGCCATTTATACTATCAAACAGATCACATGTTTTGTAGTCTGAATATTTCAGGTCGAACTGTGTAAATGGCAAGTGGCAAATTCATTTGTAAACTTTTACATTCGCCAACTGCAAACAATTGCATTTCCTCTGACATTAATCATTTATGTCTATGAGAAACAAAAAAATAAGTCGAACGACTGGAAAGAAACAAATAACGGCATTTTAGGACTTACCTTATAGGCTTCTTCTTCATCAGCGAATACTGGTTCCATTTGTGCTAAAGCGCCAATAAACTCTGATGCTTTTAAACACTTTCTAGCCAACTGAGCTATACGCCTCTCTGTAACCACTTGACTACAGGCTTGAGCTATTTGACCAGGTGTATAACCATCAGATATTTTTGATAATGATGTAATGTCTAAGTTTTCGGTGAGTATACCACCATGACGAAAAATCTGTGTTCTCCAGATAACTAGAGTCAAGTTGGTCCGTGTATGAGTACAGAAACGAAAGCAGAATACAAACCATTTTGAAACAGTCATGCTATGTACAGATAAACATCTGTGATAATTAAATAGCCTTAAAGCAAAAATAGCAGTTTGTGCAAAATGAACGGCACTGTTGTTTATTTTGTCGGCTTCGCATCATCTGCTTGCTGTCTAAGTCGAGTTTCAAGCATCTGTTAGCTAGTGATTCGGATAACTCGAAGAGAACTGATTAATACTGTCTATTCATAATTTCAAAGGATCTTAAGGTGTCCAATTTCTGACTTCAATTCATCGAGATGCCTGAAATAGAATTATTCTCCGAACCACAATTATCTTTCTCAACACCATTAATTACCTTAACTTGTTTTAATATCATCATTATTTTTGATACATCGCTTTGCGTGAATTAGATTGACTTCATTTCTGATCATAAATTGACTCCAAACGGTAAAAACCACTGAAATCTAGGGAGTACTAGACAGCTGTTTCGTCCTTGCTTACTATTCTTCATCAGTAATAACAAAAGGAGTTCGCATACCATTCAACCAGTGGGACAGAATCCGGTGGTCCACCAAACTCTGATTGAAATTGAAATCAATCAAGTCCCAACATTTCAAAATTTATCAAGTGTACCCTGGTGACTGACTATGGGATTAAGTTGCTTGAAGCTTTGATGGGAATTCCGAATCAGTATGGTTCAAGTTGGGTGTGATGGTAGTCACTCGACGACGGTATTACCTGGCAGTTGAGCTATATGTCGCAAAATGGACAAAGTTATAATTCATGAGCTCCCTAGTGAAGCCTATCCCAGTGGCTTATTGGTATAAAAAATTGCCCTGTAACTTGTAAGTCCTGCGTTCGTTCTGTGGTGGCGTCATGAAAGCGTACGGCTGAAAAGTCTCAAACAGTAACGAGGCAGCTGTCCAGTACTCTCGTGTTTTCAATAATTCTCTGACTGAATTTAAACCTTGATCAGAACTAAAATTATTATTATTATCATTTAGTTTGCAATTCTTAACATTTTCAAGTTCTTCCTCTGAAGACTAACTATTTCTTCCTGATGATGATGCAACTACACTGTAATTCATAACAATCTCTGATGAACTGTTTTTCCGTATCTATCTGAACTTCATCTAAGAAAATATTTGCGTCCGGCTTTTTTGCAAGAATAATTCATTGTAGTGTATTTACCAATCATTCATGCATCTGTACTGCACTTGAATTTTTGTTTTAATGCATCCATTTTACTATGGTGCCACACCATCTTGTTTTTCCGGCCTGACTGTACACTCGTGGTTTGCTTCCTTGTTGTGCTATCGGCCGAGCAACAAGCCTATTTACTTTGCATCCGTTAATCAGTACTTATCCGCTTCATAGAGTACTGCTAAGGGTTTTAAGAGAAAACGTCTTTAGTAAGTGCTGTTAGTTGACGTCTGACTTGAGCGTGACTAAAGCCTACAACTGGTGAACCCGAGTTTCACCGTTTGCCTTATTTGTAGCTTTACGTGTCAATATTTCACGATGTATTTATAACAGTATATATATACATATGACAATGTATGTAGAGTACTCAGCAGTTGAAGAGTTCCCATTTACTCCTATTTTATTAACAATATTTGTTGCTTCTTCTAAATTATGCGTATACTTTAATTCATAGTGAAAAAGATTCAGAAACTTTAGCCATTTAAAGGTGTTTCACACACCTCACTATTTCTTTCATTTCTCGTATTATCAGACATTCACTAGGACAAGAACTCTATGAGCTCCATTATGGATAAGATTTTATTTTGATAAATCACACAGTGTTGTACAGTAATAGTGTGTTGAGAGCAGGCTGCTAGCCGATTGGTTGGCACTAATCTACGTTAAGGTCTAGGTCACTAATATGGGCCGTGAGAAAATATGAACAAGCCTGAGTCAACAACCAATCACAGCAAAGTTAACGTGGCAGAATATGATTCGCAGAGAGAACTCTATTTGTCAAGGAATCCCGAAACAACCAATCAGAAGCCTGCGTTTGTCTACCTAAACAACCAATCAGATGACTGCGCTTGTCTATAATAATGTAGTTGAAAGATGTATAAATACGTGTTGATTTTCATAATAAAACGATCTGTTGCCTGGCCCTTGTCTTCTGTTGTTACATTTGGTGTCGCTGCCTACCGACAAATGAAAAGCCTATACCCTGCAGTTTTTGATGGAGACATATGGATCTTCGGGCAGGACTTCAAGGCTTCTGCGCAGTTGAGTGGCGTTCAAGATCTGTCAGCGATGGAGCTGCTACTTGAGACGCTGCTGGGAGGTCGGGCGAAAGCAGCATATGAAGGTGTGGGCCGAAGTATGGACGAATGTTCGACAGGGTCAGGCAAACAGTTTCCAAAGTGGGAAGGACCATATATGGTCACTTCGAGATGGGGTTACGCAGACACAGTCGCAATGGCGAACAATGAGAGGCGCGTGAACGTCAGCGAGCTCCAGAAATGGATACAGCGAGACAAGCCAACGATGACGCCTGCACCAAGTAGATCAAGCCGACTTCAGTCGCACGTATTTGACGGGGGGACGAGTGTGGTGAGAGCAGGCTGCTAGCCGATTGGTTGGCACTAATCTACGTTAAGGTCTAGGTCACTAATATGGGCCGTGAGAAAATATGAACAAGCCTGAGTCAACAACCAATCACAGCAAAGTTAACGTGGCAGAATATGATTCGCAGAGAGAACTCTATTTGTCAAGGAATCCCGAAACAACCAATCAGAAGCCTGCGTTTGTCTACCTAAACAACCAATCAGATGACTGCGCTTGTCTATAATAATGTAGTTGAAAGATGTATAAATACGTGTTGATTTTCGTAATAAAACGATCTGTTGCCTGGCCCTTGTCTTCTGTTGTTACAATAGTAAATGATACTCTACCACAATGCCGAAGTTTTATACTGATATCAATAACTCTATGAGCATTCCTTATATACTTCGCTCTGACATCAGCGTTGAAAATGTTATCTAGAAGGACGACGAAAACTCCACAGGTAAGTCATTTATCTCAAGGGAGATAACAATGTGGCGTTATCTATTGACAAGGTTTATCAGTAGTATAAGTAAAGAGACATGCCTTGGCACAAAAATATAAAATAACTGAGAGATCGATTTGCCATCAAAGAGAGCTAATAAACCCGCATTTTTTAGCCGACTCACGGGATCTCTGGTGTAAAAACGTGATATCCGGCTGGCTATCGACCAAAGCACGTGTTTATTGCTCAGCAGTTTGCTCCATCCTCCTTTATGTCTATGAGCAAGACATGGCCATTGGAGGTGGAAGACATGAAAAGCCTGGATAGCTGTCTTTGATCCTAGGTGCCTGCGTTCAATCTCCCGTTTTAGGTGATATAATAGGATGAGCAATATTGAGGTTAGGCATGAGTCAATTGCTAGATAAGGAGGAGAATCAAAAAACGAGGATGTAAAGTTACATCGATTGCTTAAGATGGTTAAGACATGTGTTGCGCATGCTTAGCCTAGCCATCGCCTTCCTTGACGGGTAATGTTAGTTGGCATGAGATGGAACAGGTTATAAAAGAGCTAGACAGTGGTAGTCAAACAAAAACATAACTTCATCAGTCAATAAAATCCACAACAGTTAGTTTGAGCCAGCCACGTTGGAAGGTGTAGACTTCCTGACTGGTTGGGGTCCTCGGAGTGGTAAAAACCAATGAAGGCTGTAGATAATCGGTGATATGGCTCAAAATCCTCGTACTCAATGGCTGGCGTAGGTGCATCCACTCCTTGTGACATATTATATCCAATAAAAGCATATAGTTCTTCGATATTACTATTCTTTTTGCCTCATATCTCCGTTTACCGTCTCTTTTATGCATTTCTTTTTACTTTCTTCTCTTGTTTTGTGGGCTAAGTGAAGTGTGGCGACTCGAACTACTGAACATCTCTGCAAAGTTCTACGTAGAAACCAGTCAGTCAGTTATATATATATATACATAATTTCGTTGTATGTGTATATCAAATTGCAACTGTGATATACTTCCCCTTTGTCCCGAAGAGATGCTCACTGTTAGTTTGAAAGTCAATTCAAAATGCGTGTGAGTACATCTTATAAATCAAGGATGTAATTGAATGATGAAAGCAGTAAGAATTAAGGAAAATACGATGTATTGTGTTGTATAAAAATCCAAAAAGGCCGAGGAATTTAAGCAGGCTGCTATAGCAGCACAAATGTTTTCAGGAAAATTTATTTAAAAAACGCTTTTTTAGGAGACAAAACAGCAAACTTACTGTTTCTTGAAGAATAATCTGGTCTTGGTATTAAAATAATCTTTTGATATAAATTACAAAATGGTCGTACATCTGCTTCAAATGGAGCTGATGAACACCCGATCAGTAGGACACGATCACTTGGTGTTAAAAGTTTCATTGCTTTTGGTAATTCTTTTTTCAGACGTTTTGGATCAGACTAAAACGATGAAGAGATGCATACAATAGACAAAGTAAGGCGGAAGACAAGAGAATGGTAAACTGTGGAATGTGACCAACAAGGCGGCTGAGACGTTAAGCTGTTTAAGATGTATCATACACAGTAGAACAAAACAGTATTATTATTTGCTGGATTATAAGGTTTCGAACATAGTTTATTCCTAATTTAATTCACTTTTGGATTTTCCCATCGATTTATTCAACTGAAGTGCTCGGTTTCAGGTTGATATGTCAGCTTCTTGTGCAGATGCTTCAACGATGTCTGGGCAAGTAATTAGAAGTTAATTGGTGGATGGTCTCGAGGCCCAAGTGATCTTGCAGATAATGCTTTGGTGTTTGAAACTATGGACGCTGTTCGAGCCTCGTGGGAAAGTCATCACTCACTGCGGAATACAGGTACATCCAGCTGACGAGTCCCAAACAGGTCTAAATGTGCATCCTGGGTTGCACTGCTAGACACCATCCACCAATTAACTTATGATGGTTTTTTCATATTCATAATCATATCATCAGTTGTGACTTTACAAACAGTTTCAAAACTCGATTTCCATGGTATCCTTTATGCGGATTAATTTCCAATTTACACTTTTCGAGGTGATTAAATCCCCAAGGTTTCCTTTGGAAGCCAAAATCACTGAGATTACAATATGTGATCTGCTTGATATCAATCAAGGTAATCATAAATATGTACTACTGATTGATTGGGATGGATAGTAGTCGCATACTACTTAAATCAACCAGAGTGTAGTGCTTGCTGACGAGATTATCAAAGTGGTCAAAACATCGTACAGCTGTTTCGCTTACATCAGGCTGGACTCGTCAGTGATGTATCCGGTGTGACTCAGCCTCACAGTGATGAATCAGTTCAAACTAGTGCACAGAAGGTTATTCTGACCATAATTTTAAAATGAATGGCGAGAATTTCAAGGAAGGGTAATAGACATTCAATAAACTCTTAGTTTGTAAGGATTTCAATCAATATATGTATATAAATATATATATGGTTTACATCACGCTAGGACAACCAGGGAAACATCACTATGGTTATTTCATCCTAGTTTGGTACTATTCAGCTGAATGAACTCACATCTCAACTGCGTAGAATCAAGTCCAAGATTTTAAAGTTACGAGACCAACACGTTGAGATGCAGCTACTGTGTAGCAACCCAGTAGTTGATGAATTCTAATCCCTGCCAATTCAAGATATATTGCACTATCTGCAGCTAATCTCATCAGGAGGTATCCGGATCTACACTAAGCCTAGTGGACCTTGCGAGTTACAATTCCTGAATAAAACTTCAGGAAGTTTATTCCCCCTGAACTTCGGCTCAGTAGCAAAACGTTAACGTGTTGTACCTTTCATTTTAATCAAATGATTCAGAAGACACCACCTTTATCAACTGCTTGTATCAACACTCTGAAAATGAAGAACAATTAAATTTAAACTGTCACTATAGAAATTTTTGAGACGCATTACATTCAGTCTAATCGTGTGTTAATGCAACACCTGGATGAAATCCTTTATGTCCATGGCAAAAAAAATCATACCTCAGTTGGTTTTCAATATAAAACCATTAGTTTGTAATTCACTCTCCTAACTGGCTGAGTTTTAACATAGAAATCTGAACATGAGTTAATCAGTTCAAGTTGCTGCATTCAATGTAGCACACAAAAGTTAAAAGGCTTTAATGATCAGAAAGGTACAAGAGAAAGAATAGTAACATCTAAAAACATGAAGATTTAATAGATCCGGGAGATCACAAATAGTGAGTACATCTGGTCGTTTGCGAACGACTTCTATCCATATCATGAAATGTCACAAGCGATTGATTCATTAGATTTTTGAGGACTTCATCCAGGTAATGTGCACCTCTCTACATGGCAGGCTCAAACTAAAAGTCAGGGACTTCATGGAGTCTAACTCCAAAATATCCTTTTTGACGTTCAGCTAACAAGACGGAATACTGAAAAATCTATCAACAGAAAGTCAACGTGGAACGGGCAACTTGCTATATACATCAAATGAAACCATTCATTCAGATACAGAGTTCGCAGAATCTGCACCCCTGATACTAAGAAGACGAACTGGACAATCTAAAGAGAATTCTCATCGGGCATTGTTACCCAGAACGATTTATTGCAAAATCCATGAATCCTAGACCGCAAAAGCCGCTCACGCTTAGCGCCTCGAAAAAACTGCGCTACATGAACCTTCAATTCAGTGGAGATTCACCTGAGAAAACACTGAAGAATCGACTGTCCCGTTTACTTAAGAAAGCCTTCTTAGTAGCTGAACTACGACTAACCTTCGCCACGAAACCTATGATTCGTATGTACGTAAAGGATAAGCTACCACTGGTGACCTCGTCAATGTGTATCTACCAATTCACCTGCTCGTGTGGAGTCAGGTATGTCGGCCATACCCAGAGTTCGCTTTCCAAACGTATCACTGAACACTTACCAGAATGGTTTTACAAAGGAGAAACGCAATGGCCCAGCAGCTCTATCTTGAAACATCTGATAGGTTCCGGACACCAAGCTGCACCCTATACAAAATTCAAGGTCGTCTACATAATATGAAACATTCTTCCTAAAAGTGTACGAATCAAACTTCTTCAAACTTCAGAAGCAATGGAAATTTACTTGCTAAGTCCTGAACTTTACATACAGAAGAAGTTCGTCAATCACTACACTTGCAATGGATGTAGCCTATCCTATTACCCGAAGGGTAAATTCTATTTCTTTTTGTCTTTTCATCAGTATTATTTTGTCCTTTCGAGTATGATATTTTACATTTTCAACTTTCCTGTTCTCTACCCCTACCCGATTTGATTTCTACACTTCATTACCACTGCTACTGACTTGACCAACGCTCAATTTCTAGTCATTTATGTTACGTCATCCAACTTATCTGCTCAATTTCAGTTCTAATTTAAATGGCATTATTCTCCACCTGTGATTACCTCTATTTCTATCCTGACGTAAGTTGAAATATTTCAGTCAATAATATTACGTCATCTAACTTATTAACTCAGTCTTACTTTACCTGCTATCTAATTAACCTTGTTTCTAAATTAGTTCATTTTGTGTTACCTAATTAATTATCTAAACTTGACAAACCTCATGTACACACACACACAAATAATTGTATATAAATGCGATTGTACAGCTATGTGAATGAATTCGCCGAAATCAGTCTCTTCGCAGAACTTCTTCTCTTTTTCATATGACGTCATGGATGACGATAGGTTCTGAATTGAACATATTTTACTCTTTTCCGACCAACCCGATGTCCGTTAATATTGTTCGCCATCCTAATCGTCTCAATCGATGTAGTCTCATAACTTAATGGAATAATATACGTTCCTCACCAAACACTCGACGCCCAACTTAAATATTTCTCACCATATTACGCCATTTAACACGGAAGATAGAGCGCAAACATCTGTAGTCAAAGACGCCTAGCTTTCTCATGTCTTCCACTTTCAGTAGTCATACCCTATAACCATAAATAATTCAATACCACTAACAAGCAAATAAAAGCCACATCAGCCACATCAACTTACTAGATCAGTTTTAGGTAGTTTCTTTTTAAACATTTTCTCACAATCATTTATCAGAATCACGGTTGGTTGAAGTAATCGTCCAACTTTAAAGACAAGATGTATCAACATCTTTAGACCATCTTTACCAGGATATTTATCAATAATATTTTCAGCGGATAAGTCAATTAAATTAGCCCCAGTTTCAGTGCATATAATATTGACTAGTGTACGTTTCCCTGTTCCACTTGGTCCAGCTAATAGCAAAGATTTTATCCATGGTGCTTTTTCATGAACAGTTTGTGAACCTGTAAATAAATATTGGAGTAAAACAACAGGCAAATTTGAGCATTACAAGTGACTGTATTAGTCACACATTAAATTCTCAAAAGGTATATCAAGCAACGGCTTACCAACTTTGGGATTTTGTAGGTATCAGAATAGCTTTAATTTAGGAATGAATGATAAAGAAGACTTTGTTTCTCAGTTGTATGACGTATTGATGTGTGTGTGTGTTCCTTTAAGCTGAATAGTTTGACTGAGGAGCTTTTACTGATGTCTGGATAACATTTTGAAGGCTTCATATTAATTCCATATTGAAGTCGCCACTGAAGATGTTTTCGACAAAGACAATAAATGTTCTGCTACTAAACAGTCCATCTCAGGGAACACAACTACACCAGTAACACGTGTCAGTTCTTGAAATCTTGTCCTACTCGCGTCTCCACTTCAAAGTACAGCTGAGCTTCCACTGTAAATTATTTGGTATGTAGCATTCTCGTACAACTATTGAATGAGGTTGATAAACGTTTACGGTATCCCATGGTGTTGAATCAGTTTCCAAATTACTTCATGGTCGACGCTATCAAAGGCGTTTTCAAAGTTGATGACATTTAGATAGATAGCTGTGCTTTTTTCATTATGATGCGACCTAATATTTTTCTTGGAGTGGACAGAACCATGATTCAGTGCCAGTTCTGGCGAAGGTTTAAGTCGCCAATCGATAAATACCATTCCTTCCGTTCAAACTTTGTGTAATAGTGGCGTGAGCATATACGCTGAGTTCTCTGTGTTAGCTCTCGGGCTACCTATTATCGCCGATGATGTTCCTGATTGTGTTGGACAGAATCATGTGGTAGACTGTGGGGAGCCGTAAGACATGTACACGTGCAACCGACAGGAAGACTTTAGTAGATCTGGAGTTCGTGGGTGATTTATGTCCAAAATACATAAAGTCGAAGACCTACAGGTGAAAACCAGCAAGTTGGAAGAAGCAGCATCAAAGACGGGACTTCAAGTGAGAGTAGGGTAGACAGAGGTGATCAAGACATCCAGACAGGATATTTTCCACTCAGAACCAGATGGAATAATCATTTAGGTTATTTTGTGTTCCTTATTAAATGATTGTCTGCTTCAGGTGATGTGCTGACTCCTATTATGGACGTTTGGACACTATCTTCAGATGCACATGGTGTTACTAGGTAAGTGGCGGTTAATAGCTGAATCGTCGTGCGTCAGCTGTATCTGCATCCCCAGTGAAGGATGGTGTTTTCAATGGGATTTCAACCCAAAACCAATCAACCTGAAATTCAAAATAACCGCAACTGATACCTGTAACACAAGAGGTGACTTTTTCAACCTGGCGGTCTAGTAGGTAACGCTTCGCCACTTGAAACGTTTGGTGCTGGGTTTGACCTCAATAAGAACATCACTTATTGAAATTTAGGTACTTTCAGCCAAGGAGTTCAAGATAGGCGAAACATTTGTATGGTCTTGGGGAGTTTAGGAATGTGTTGGTCAGGAATCAAACCTTGAACTATGTGCACGATTGGCGAGTATTCTTCCAACGAATTATTGATGCACACAACGACCTAAAAGAGGCTCTGACCTTCGGAATACCACTAGTGTATCATGATGTCATTACACCTTTAATTATCTTGACAAATGCGTTGCAAAACAAAAAATGCAATATTTGCAGAAGAGGACAGCTCGCATTTCACCTAGAAGTTAAACATTTTCATAAAATAGCTCAACGATATACCAGAAACCATCGGTTTAAAATGTTTCTACTGTAGCTTTAGGAATAAGAATCGCCACTTTCATCACTGCGTGTATGTGTACATTATTACTGTCAGTATTACTTCCTTACCTGCCGAATGGAACATAGTAGTTCAACAAGTCACCACTACTTAACTCTATTCTTTGAAGTCGACTTCACCTGGCTGCACGATTGCCCATGGGTTTGCGTTTCTTCCCATACAATTTCCACCATGTTACCATGATAGAAAAGCATGATTCGTCGTTTCCTATTCAGTTACCACTGGAGGGTCTGTCTAGGGCTTGATGTCACTCAACAATCTCCTCAGAATACCTCTAATCCATCTCCATTTACACCTGCGTATTTTAACTGAGCAACGGGCAGTTGCTTAGTTGGTTGTCACAGTTTATTGTCGTTTATGCCTTCTACCTGTCATTTTGATCTTCGTATGAAGGCACCAGTCATTTTTAAGGACTGTACTTATGTACTGAGTCAAGTAGTTCTGTCTCCAAACATTACAGATTGACAGTGTCCAGTGTCTTACTAAATTGTTGAGAGGTACTTTAAGGCTTGGTAACCTAATTAATGATAGTTCTATGTTTTTGAATAACCTGAGAAAACTAAAATTGTAATCACCTTTATTTTAGAGGTTTTTAGTTGAAATTTATCGAATTCTGTATGGATTTGATTTTTGGGAGAGATGCAGTGAGATAAGTGTCAGAAGTATTAGTCATATGAATCACTGAGGCTAAAGTTTTAGTGTATTAAACAAAAACGCCAAACGCCGTCGATTAGAAACATCCAAAGGAAATCTTCCCTTTCACCTACCTGAACTGAACAGCATCCTTTCAAATATAGCCGGCACAGGTGGGGATGTCAAAGCTACCCTAAATCTGGTCAGGAAAGAAAGCCAGGCATTCATTACAATATTATTAGTATGGTGTGGAGATAGACATAGACTTCAGAGTTGTGACACACGCTTCACTGGAAGCATTTCCAATAGGTTGCTGCATACTTTCACATCAACACCTGTCTTCGCTGGTTCACTACTCAAGATCAGACAGCTAACAAGAAAGGATAAGTAACGAGGAGCTCTCCCAAGCAGAGAACCAGTCAAAACCCTTTTGTCTAACCAACAAATATATACAAGGAGATGCAGGAGGAGGACTGGACATCGCACGTCAGGCACTCCCTCAAGGGGAACCAGAGCAGGAAGTGATGGGTTTCGCGTTCCGGAATGACATGGAGGAGACCATGTGATAAAGGAGAAATGAAAGATTGTTGGCAGTCATAGAACTAGTTGAAAGTGATCAAAAAGAACCGAATGGACTGCATAACTGCTGCTGAGGCTCTGTTCTCCACTCGGAGCTCAGAGAATGGATACAAATAACAACAAATCACTTGATCCATCAACAGAAAAGTAATCTAATTTCCATTCAAATGTTAATTTTCATACATATACAAAGGAAAATAACGAACTAACTTACCTAACGGTAGTATGGCATATTCAGTGACTAGCCGGCGTACATCACTTAACGATGATTGAGGTTCAATATTAGCTTGTCTTAATGTTATGCCTAAATAAGAATATTCCCCGTAGTATTCACTCATTGAACATTTTTCAACCTTTTTAATGATTCCAGCTAATGCTAATTCTTCATAGAGGGAAATAAGTGTTCTATAGAAAGAGGATACATTTTATAGACAAATAAGTAGACGGTAGATCATCACCCATATTACATGTGTAACAACAGAAAATAAGGGCCAGGCAACAGATCGTTTATTGAGGAAATCAACACGTATTTGTATGTTGTCGTGTACATTATTATAGATTATTTGAGCAAACAAACACAGTCTGCTGATTGGTTGTTTCTCACTGAAAGCTAATCTTTCATCTCTTTATGGCTGTTTCTTGAATGTCAGATCATCTGTATGCTAACTGTATCCGCCTACGCAAAATTAGTCTTTGTTCGTATTTTCTCACGACCAATATTGAGGACGTAAACATTGACGTAAAATACTGTCTACCAATTTTGGCTAGTAACCAGCTGTCACCACACAGGAATAACAAACAGTCTATCAATTTAAACTGCCATCGGTTAACAGCCTACTCCTCCTCTCTTAATTCAGCATGATTAGAACTGAGTATGACAGGACAAAGCGACTGCTATTAGCGATAAACGAAATGTAACCTACGATTTATTCATTCACATGGCGGTTGGGCACGAATCATGGTGATTGCAGTGAAACGATAACTATCGGGTTAGCTTTTCGAACTCGTGAATCAGCTGACAGACCTCTGAACTTCATTGCATTCCTAGTAAAAGATAAGGCTTCCAGCTTGAAATATGAAGTTTCACTAGAGGTAATGTTGTTTTTTTATAGCGGGGTAGATTGCTAACATTATGCCTAACGCTTCGTCTTTTCCGTGTTTTACAACCAGTTAAGCGATGTCTAGGAATACGTCTGCGAGGAATTTATTGGTTACCATTCTATCACTAAACTGCTGATTCCTAGTCCGTTAACAGAGCGGAATTTCATTCCATGCACCCTAAGGTTAAGCTACCAGGAGGTTTCCACAGCTGGACTGGTAATACAGTTTTATTTGGAATATTATTTGGAATAAAAGTACCACCATATTACACAGAAGTATCTTCTGTTCCCCACAACAGTTATAGAATGTGCACATTAAAATTATGAAGGCTACAAACGTCAAACCACATTTACTAGTGTGTCATTGATCACAGACTGGGCGATACTAAAGGTAAATGTAAGCGTCTGGATGAAGAAGACGAGTAACTTGATTACATTAATGACACTAAACCGTAATTAGTGTGATATTCAACTGGATGTAAGTAATATTGCAGCATGTACTGCTTATAACTGTATAAATAGGTGGCAATAAATGGTTGGAACCGATTGTGAAACAAATAGGCAGAAAGAAATGGAGATGGATTGGCCATACGCTGAGGGAACCATCAAGTGACATCACTAGACAAGCCATGGCTCGAGTGGAACCCGAAAGGGAGGCGGCGAGTTGGTCGTCCAAGGGTGACTTGGAGGATGTCATGCGAGGAGGAGATGAAAGCATGTGGACAGACCTGTAGCAGGGTTAAAAAGTTGTCAGAAAACCGAAATAAATGGAGGTGCGCAGCTGAAGCCCTATGTTCCTCTAGGAACTAAAGGATACAATAATAATAATAATAAATGGTTGGAAGCGACCGTTAGGAAGCCCTTTGGACCCAGATTTTGAGTTTGTGCGCACTCGTTAGCAAGGCGTATCTGAATGACATTGGAGACTACTTAATGAGTAATCAAATTATCCCTTACACTTCTACTGGAGGTCAATCATGAGTCTGAATAACTTAGCGGTAACGTCTCTGCCTGAAACATTGGGTAACCCGGGTTCGGATTTCATACGGGACATAAATTCCTTCAAGGATGCACATACACCTCAATGATGATCGCCAACGTAAATGAAGCCTAGGTGCAAGGCTTCATATTGACCGCCTCGAACCATCTAACGGCAGTTCATACTGTTCTCTGATGGTGAGTCACCTAGCTTGTTAGCCACACTGCAAAACTTGACTGATAGAATTTAATATTCATCAAAACCAAAGACCAGACGCGTGATATTGGTTATACCTAGTGCCCAATCAAAGCATATATAAGTAGTATATATAGTAATAAGTAGTAATATTTTGTGTAAGATTTAGTCAAGAGTGTAATATTGACGAGAAGTAAATTAGCACAATGAGGAAAGAAGATGATCGGCAGGAGGCTCTGAACCTAGGTTTCCTGCCTACCAGCACCCATAAGTAAGGTGTATGTTTCTACAGGAATGAATTCCCGTCGGAGATTCAGACATGCATCACTTAGCATTACAGTCAAAAACGTCATCATTCAGCTATTATTCTAGCTGACAACTAACCACTTGTACTACCACAATGGTTAATAGCAAGAATTTCTGACTGGGGGTCAGACAGAGCCTTGTGTTCAGTCCTCTATGTTAGAGATGACCAAATCCCATCATTCACGGAACCAGATGACTTGCTATCAATCAGTACTGACATTAAGAACTAAATAAATGACACGGATTACACTTCCTCCTGAATAACACATGCATACCCTATTGTGTTTCGTTAAACTGTGCGAAATAATCGCCCTTTGAATAAACAAGTTTAACGTTCTCTAAAAATTTGGCTAAGAATGCTTGCAGGTTAAATCATAGGTTAACATCACTTAGAGAACCATTGAAAACCAGTACTGAGTACTGGACACCCCTTTTGTCCTAGTTTGCTACTCTTCATCAGTACTCACCCATCACCCCACCCAAAGTTCATACTTTCAGTTCGGGGATGAGGACGAGTACTCGCCAATGATATTAGCTAGTGGTGACACTGTAAATCGCCAAATGATAGCGGTTAGAATTCAAGAACTGGTCATTGAATTGCGCCCCAGTGGCAGAATGCTTGTCAAAGTCTCCTTGTAACCTGAAGGTCCTAGGTTCGATCTCTAGAGGTGGGTTGTTGGTTTTGTTCTACTGAAAAACAGCAAATTAGGATGAAAAAAAGCTCTCCTTTATTCTCTACTGGTTTCCAATATTCCTCTAACTGAAATTAATCTAGGATCTAACCAGAAACCAGTCAAATTCCTGCAGACTAACTTTTAAGAAGATGTCTTCATAGAAGTCTGAATACTAGCCCTTTCAGACCCAAAGTATAAGATCATGGTCAATACAGACTAACAGTGTGAGGTGCGTTGTTAAGCTGTAAGATATTGAATCGAACTTAAATGCAGATACGATGACCTTTAGTGGAACTCTATCAGTCACTAATCAATAACACCCATTATGTCACTACATACAGTAATTTATGGTCACTCTGATTAAAGAAGTTTTTAACACCTTACTTATCTGATATGACCGTTAATACACCAGGCAGCTGGTGCCAACGAAATGCCTACCTAGTCTATTTGCAAGCCTACTCTTCTAATTACTATCAACAGCAACAACGACAGGAAACGGTACGATACCCCTAAAAACGTGATGCAAGAAGATAAGTAGACAAATCGTTGACAAAGAGAGCTTCTACTGTCTCGAATCACCAGCAAAAAGAGTTGACAGCAATCGCGTATATATATATGTGTGCTTTAAATGGTCTTCTCAGACACTTATTACATTGATAAGTTAAAGCAATCAACAGCCAATTGGGTTTCAAGGTCATAAGTTTGTGGGAAATTCAAACAGCACTGTAAAGATAAATGTAGTATTTTAGAAAAATTAGGTTCAAATAACATTTTCTCACCTATCTGGTGTGATATCTTTATCTCGTCTTCTTTTGCCTTTTTTACTTTTTCTACCCTTTTTTGACCTTTTCTTAGTCACTCGTTTGACACGTTCTTTATCAATCGCCATTTTTAAATTTCTTAATTCTTCACGAAGTAATTCATCAACCTGTCATGATATTGAAAAATATAAATTAGTAGATACTTCGTATGTGAGTAACTTGTGCAAACATCTGTGTAGATTGACAGTGAGGATTGAAATGGTTGAGTTATTTGCCTGTTCTACATATTTTCATGAAGAAAAATAAGAGTATGACGTTATATACTACTGATTGACGGGCTCATATGAGTAGTTGAACACCACTCACATCATGCAGCATCAATAATGTTTGCCAAGCAAGATTACTGAAGTGGTGTAACCTCCACCGAACGATCATTTCACTCATTTGGGGCCGAGTACATCAGCAGAACACCCAGTTAGACTTAGCTCAGAACGGAGAAGCAGTACAGCCGCCAATCCCACACACTTGGATTCTGACCAGTTACGTAAGAGAATTACGAACTTGATTCGAAGAAATCCAGTTTTACTGATCCTGCCATAATAAGTACATCTTTACTACTTTGTTTAAAAGTATAATTATTATTATTCCAATGCATTCCTAGTGAAATATGGGACTTCAAGAGCACACCTGTGTTTCATCCTGTTCTCCGTAACCCTATTTAGCTGGCTCCACAACTGTACACAAGCTTTCATTTCCTCCTCACACGATCTCTGTCATGTCACTCTTAGACAGTCAACTCGTCGTTTCCTTTTCGGTCAGTACACGATAGCCTAGTTCTCAATGTCACCCAACGGTCTGCTTAGCGAACATCCAATCCATTCCCTTAGACATGTTTAATATGCCATAAGTTCTTGGTTCGTTCGTCACGACTCCTTTGTTGCTTACTCCTGATAGTGCGCCATCTGATCTTCAGTATCGAATGAAGGCGATTGTTGATAAAAGTCTTCAGCTGCCTGTTGGAAATGCACTTAGTGACCCATCAAGTCTCTGAATTGTGTAGAAAAACTAATTGACTTTACATTAGTGTTCAAAACCTGAATCTTTTTCCATCGACACACTAATTTAAGATTATCGAAGGTCTCTCTTGCGTTCCTTATCCTGATATTGACATCCCCGTGTACGCGGTGCGAAGCTGAAATATTGCCTCCTAGATAGATGGAAGAAGTGAGTTCCTTTAAATTTCTCTCACTGATGGATAATTAGTATATTTAGTCGCCAGTTGAAATTAATTTTTATAATATCATTTCATACAACTTAATCTATTTTTGTATGTTCATTCATACACCTGATCTGAATATTTGACCGAAAGTTTTAATCAGTTCGAATCATCAGTACTCTTTCTTAACTCCTACGTTGGATTCTTGACCGACGAACTCCTTTACTAGCCTATATCAAGTCCGGAAGAGAGGCAAGGTTGAAGGTTAACCTAACAACCCTACCCCCCAGAAGAATCATTGCTATCAAAGCTTGGACCTAAAGACGTGAAGCCTTCGGTTCCAACTTCCATTGCCAAATGTAGAATACACTTGTAAGCTTCTCATGTTTATACTAACAAGCTTACTAACACATGTAGTTCTTTCTCATGTTTGTGCTCAATAAAGGAACACTAATAGTTTCTGTCTTCTGATTAACTAATACGCAAATTATGTAAATATTTCGCATTTTGATACTGAAAATGTTTAAGCTTTCATGAAGCTGACAAAAGCAGTCAGCGGACGTGTAAAGTGCTTATAGGTGGTACCTATATGTCATGCTAGCTACCTGAAGTCGTATTTCCGCCTCCACTTCAGCACGTTTTTCTTCCTTGATAATTTCTTCATCATGATGTTGTTGAAAGTTATCTGATTCATCTCGATTCTTCCATAATGCTAAAGAAAATACAGAACAGTCCAATTTGATTCAGCACAATTTAGCCAATTACACAATACTGAAGAAGTAAAAGCAGCTTAAAATTGATTCAAGTATGAATAATCACGAAATCTAAGCATTTAATCATGAGGATAAACACAGTTTTTTTGTTCAGCAAAGAAATGTATTTCTTTCCAATGATTTCATTTTCAGATAGCTATACAGTCGTATACTTATATTACGCACATTAAGTGACATAGGCAATACACTACTGATTGATTTTAGTAGTATGGAACTACTCATGTTAATCAGTCAATCAGTAGTATATAGTTTTATGAAAATATGCTTGGTGTCTTGATTGCCGTTTATGCTATCAAGTCTAGATCACAATATTTGAACTGAATAACTTGGTTTCCAATAGGAAACAACCATAGTGAAACTTCATCACTCGAACTGTATAGATGGCAAACTGTCAATTTTATTTATATACACAATCTCAAAGCAAACATTGGCTGAAGGATAAACTTCGATTGAATACTAGTCAGCAACTAGTGGAGTGTGTCTAGTTCTCCTACCTTTGGTACAGACTGAATTCTATCAATCAAGTTTTCAATGTGGCCACAATACCACTAGGTGGCTCGCCATCACGGTGTACATTGATTTGATGATGTTACATGGTTGGAGGTATTTGGCAAGAAGTCCTGTAAAGACCCAGGTTTCGTGCTAGTTGACACCCATCAGTCAACAAGACGTACCTTCAACCTTGAAGAAACTCATGTACCTTCTGAGGAGGTCCGAACCAGCATCACCCAGTGCTGCAGTTAGACACGTTATCGCTGGCCCATTCAGGTTCGCAATTGACCTCCTGTAGGACTACTGTACTGGATACTTTGATTGGACACTAGTAATTAATAGGATGTGTCAAGTCATTTGTTTGGTGCAGACTGAATTCTCTCAGTCACTGACTGTCATTTTTCTTCACCTTTGTGTGCATCTACTGTTTCATATTCTCTTTGGGGGCTGATCTGATTGGACGTTATAAATATGTCCTCCAGAAACGTTTAACTGAACACTACGTGTTTAATTTAATTGAATCGGAGATTTTCCCGTCGGTTGAATGGACCGAAGTGCTCGGTCTCAGGATGACATGTCGGCTTCTTGTGCAGATGCTTCGACGATGTCTGGGCATGTAATTAAAATTTAATTGGTGGATGGTGACTAGCAGTGGAATCCAGGATGCGTATTTTGTCCTGTTTGGGACTCATCAACGGGATGCACCTGCACTCTTCAGCGACGTCATGATTTCCCTATCGAGGCTCGAACCCAGTGCTCATGGTTTCAAACGCCAAGGCGTTATCAACTAGACCACTTGGGTCATGAGTGCATCTTCACAAGAAGCCGACATATTAACCTGAGACCAAGCACTTCGGTCCAATCAATCGACGGGAAAATCTAAAATTAAATTAAATTAAAATGACCCGTTGCACAAGAGATGGCTTTCGTGGCCGAAGTGGTTTAGCGGATAACGCTTTGGCGTTTGAAACTATGGGCAATGGGATCAAGCCTCAGTGGGAACATCATCACGTCACCGCACAATGCTGGTACACCCAGTTGGTGAGTCCCAAATAGGACAAAATGAGCATCCTAGATTCCGATTCCACTGGTTAAATTCTCACTGCTTGGTTTGACTGACAAAAGGCTAGTATAGGACGACGAAGTATCCCATTTAGCAATTTATCCTTCAAACTTATCTAGAGAGCTAAATTTTGTCATTTTGAAAGTTTACGTTTTCTCAACTCATAGCTGGTCAAAGCACAGGTATTATATTTGGAAAAAATTCCTAGATGTGTATTCTCAAACGTTTCGCTAAAATCCTTTCTTTATTTTGAGCATAGCAGTGTCACTTTTTATAGGTTAGATTCTTCCCACTTCACTTTAGCTTCGCTTTATTTATTGCTAGTATCATGGCACTTAGAACCCCGTTTCATTTATTTAATAATATTTTAAAATCCTGTAGTTCATCCAAATCAACTCTATCCGCCTTCAAAATCAATCCTAATTATCTATTTTGATTAGACACTAGTAACTAGTGCGACGTGTCTAGTCCTTTCTTTTTGGTGCAGACTGAATTCTATCAGTGTCAGTCAGGTTTGCAATGTGTCCACCAGGTCACTAGGTGGCTGGCCATCACGGTGCATATTGATTTGATGATATTAGATGGTTAGAGGCAATCGGCCACAGGAAGCCTTGACTGATACAGTTCAATCTGCACCAAAGAAAGGACTAGACACATCAAACTAGTTACTAGTGTCCAGTCAAAATACCCACTACAGTCCTACAGGAGATCAATCGCAAGCCTGAATGGCTCAGTGGTAACGTCTCTGAATGAAGTACTGGGTGACACGAGTTCGAATCTCTTCAGAAGGGACATGAGTTCTTTCAAGGTTGCAAATACGCCCTGCTGACTGGTGAGTGCCAACTAGCATGAAACCTGGGTCTTTGTAGGGCTTTTCGCCAATTGTCTACAACTATCTAATATTAATTATCTATATTGCTATCATGAGTATATAGAGCAATTTTCAGTGTCACTTAATGACTTTTCCGTAATTTATAAAAACGACTGTATTTATTGAAAATGAAGTCGTTGAAGTCTTCGCTGAACAGAACCTGTGTTTTTCCTTATTAACAACAAACAGAAAAATGCTTGATGAATGACTTGACAGTTCTGAACATCATGCCATATATTAGTGTGGGTCAGTGAGTGGGTACTGCTGAAATAGGATGGCACAGCAGTCTAGTCTAGTCTACTGATATCAGCCGAGATATCGATGAAAATCAAAGTACACTAAATAATTAGGATGGAGAAGTCCCTTTCAAGTCAGTAAAAAGACTCCATACAACTACAAGTAGTCTAGAGTTGGACGGAACATCAGAAGTCCAATATTACCAAGAGAGATGGTTCACAAACTCATGAAGAACTCTAAAACGTCACTTCGAATTGAAGGATGCTCTGAAGATGTTGTCTAGAAGGACAGCGAAAGCTTAACAACCAAACGATCCAGCTCAAAGAAAACAACCACATTTGTAATAATTAAAAAAAATGTGATTTGAAATACACCCGTAAATTAATAAACAACATATTTAAAGATATCAAATTCACCACGAGAGAAAAAGAATTAGATAACAAAATCCCGTTTTTAGACGTCGTAATCAGGAGAACTAACACAGGAAATTTAGAAACATAAGTATATAGAAATTCAACGCACACAGACCAAATACTCAACTATAGTAGTAATAACCCAGAAAAGAAACTGCTTGCAGACATTGTTTAAAAGAGTTCAAACACACTGTAGCACTCCAGTGTAGAAGACAATTGAAGAAAAATGCCTCTTACTAATCGTCTTCAAAAAGAATACGTATCCTCACAACTTCATCAAAAAGTGTTTAAAATCAAGTCACAACACCAACAAGAAACCATCATCAAAAACTACAAAAAAATTCATCCTACCATATGTAAAACATTATCTCTGAAAAATAACAGCTAGAATATTAAAAGCCTTTTTAAATAGATATAGCACACAAGCCAGCCAGCCATCCAGCCCAATCACTTCAATCGATATTGTGCTTTCACACCACCACCACCACCCCCCACCCTTCGAAGAGATACGAGGCAAAAGTTGATAATAAAGGGAATGTTCAGTAACAGATAAGATAACTTTAGCCAAATGCTTGAAGCAAATGAAATGCCTATTGACAATAATTTCAGCTAGGTGAGTCAGGGGCACACCATTAACCCTACTTAAAGCCTTCAGTGTTCTGTATGATATCATATAGTCTTTTCTGAGAAGTCCAGAGGAAGAATACATGGATTAACAAATTGTGAGAGAAGAGGTTGAGTTACGATGCCAGAAATTCTCAACTTCTTTGTGTAATTAGTCAAACGGAAAATTTTCTTAGAAATCAACGAGACATGAGATAACCAACAGAAATTTGAAGAGAAGATGATGCCGAGATGAGAGAGATTTGGTTTACTCCCTATCATAGTGCCGTCAATATCACAGGAATCATGCGACTGAATCAGTCACTCCACGCAAGTCTTGTTCGCATCTGAAACTAAAATCAACAAACATCATGACATTTAGATGGATTTAGTTGAATACCATTTAGGTGAGACCATTTGTTAACTTCAGATAAGAATCTGTTCATATAAGAACAATCCAAAGTATAAACTACTGGGAATTAAACGGTTAGATCATCGACATATTTAATAAAGTTACCTTTACAAGAATATGCAAGGTGATGAAAAAAGAAAGAAAAAAAGGAGTGCACAGAGTACAGCACTTTTAGGCAGGCACACCAGTTTCCGTTAGCAGTGAAGTGGAACGCTTTTCATTCAAAACAGTACATTGTTTTCTACCCGAAAAATAATAAGATAGCCACCTTGTGACCCAGGACTTAGTGTTTGCTAAAATCAACCTGCTTAGTAAAAGTGGCCTACGAACATGGAGTCAAAAGTGGCAGTGTAGTCTAAAAATGAAGGCTCGAAGAAACTTTGCACCTTTATCAAGATTTAAAATAATATTGTGGTGGAGTATAACAATAGTGTCCAATGATGCTTCTACTGCATGGACTATCTGCTGGAAGTTTGGTGCGTGATTCTTGCTGACAGAATTTTTATCCTATCTTTTTAGGGATATTCCAATTAATTCTCAGTACTTAATTTGTACACAAGAACTATCTGGTCTGTATAGCTTCTTAATGACATTGTTGAGGTAACTTTGGGTTTTTGATATGTTATTACTGTCAGTTAATATTCATGATTTCATCTCAGTCAATCTGGGAACTTCTGCATGTGGGCAGACTTGGAGCGGGGTGAAAACGTTGGCTGAAAACCGAACGCAATGAACGCGCGCGGCTGAAGCCCAATGTTTCTCTAGAATTTAAAGGATATAATAATAATAATATTAATAATAATAATAGCTAAACAGTAGAAGGTGAAGATTATTTCCCAGCATTCAGACCACAAAGCGTTAGTTTTAGTCTCTATAGAAACTGTTCCTAATACTATTAATAATAACAGTAATAATACCTGAAATGAACTACACCAAAATTAAGGTATTAGAAGAAGAGGGGAAATCAATCGATGAGGCTGGGAAATTACATCGACTGAGAAGGTTAGGAAATGCGTTACGTATGCACACCTAGTCATCGCCTTCTTCGACCGACGGGCAATGTTAGCTGGCTGACGTATGGTCAGGCTGGAAAAGAGCTAGCTTGTGCTGTTCAAACCAAAAACACGGCACCAGTCAATGAAATCCACAACAGTTAGTTTAGGCCAAACACGTAGGGAGATTTATAGTGCTGACTGGTTGGGATCCTCGGGACGGTAAAAATCAATGAAGGCTGGAGACAATCGGTGATATGGTTCAAAATCGTTGTCAATGGCTGGTGCAGATGCATTCACTCCCTGTGACTTATAAATTCCAATGAAACTATATTGTTCTTTGTTATTACTATTCCTTTGTCTCAAACCTCTGTTTACTGTCTTTATTACGCATTTCTTGTACTTTCTTCTCTTGCTTTGTGTGCTACAAGGAGGGTGTGTAGTGACTTGAACTGCCGCACATATGTGCAAAGTTCTATGTCGATAACAGACAGACAGATATTAGAAGAAGAACTAGGATGGAAATATATTTTCCTATTGAGTATAATGTGTAGTAATAAGCGATAGTCATACAATTCAACCTACCTTGATAGTTATGACAGCTTTCATGTAAATCCCCGAGAAATGCTGAAGGTGACATCTTGAAACATTCTTGTTCATCCTAGATGAGTTTTATTCATCATATGAGGAGAAAAGAAGACAAACAATATCATTTGATAAATACTACTAATTTTAACAATAGTAATATCAAGAGTATTCAACTAAGGGAGAATATTTCTAGACGAGAATCCAAATCCTCCAAATTCATGTCTTTTAGGTGAAATGACTTCATGCCACCATCCAATTAATGTAGCTTTTTTATTGTGATTTGTGCAATGTCACTGTCAAGTCATCTTCTCAAAGGGGTATTAATTCAGAAAAGACTTACAATGCTGAACAAAAGACTAGCTGGCGATGTGTCTAACCTCGTAAAATAAAGGTCTTGCTTTAGCCTTTGGTAGAAGCATAAGCATAGTCTTTTACCGAGTCTTGGAATAAAATAAAACCGGCTTTCGAATGCTGCCTGTTTTCAATAAGCGATGATATCTACTTTGAAAGTAGACTTTCTAAAATTTTATCGTCAAGTAACTGAAGAACATAAAGATAACCTTGAAGATTTAATGCTTCATGGCCTGGTGCAGCAATCGATGACATCACCACCGAGGTAATAGAGCCTATAGCCGACCGTTTAACAATGATCGGAATAATCGGTGATCACATGTATTTAGACCTTATCGGTACTTGACTTGATTTGCTTATTTCTTACCTCATGAATAATTTCCATTCGAGTTTTAATAGAAAAACAAACATGTAGTTCATGATTGTTTCTTAACACAATAATTTTAATTTTACTAACCATTTCTTTTCACACTCACCCTTTCCTCTTGAAAGCTTCATCATACTCCTTATAAATAAACTCTAAATGTTAGCTGATTAACTATCTTGTATTAATATCTCTTGTTTCACAACAGTGCCCTTTGAATCCAAAGAATTCTTGATACAGGTTTTATATTTTTACATTTATACTAATTTCTCTCACTTTCTAGACAGTCAGAAGTTGAGGAAAAGTCGTGAAATTAGAAAAAATATTAACCCTTTTTATATCTTACAAACAATCTGCCTTCCCACTTTGTTCAAACTAATCATAGTAGTTGGCTGTTTGAGGAAAGAATTTCAGTCGTTTGAAATGATATTTTCTTTCTCTGACCAATTCTTTTACTCACTGTGTGGCTGTTTCAATTTCATTGGCTGATTTTATCTTATCGATTACTCTATGCTTCGCTAAACTTATTGATTTTCAAACAAAGGATATCCTTAAATATTTGAAATTTCACCTACAATATACTTTCGAATATTTTTAATCTAAATTTACTATCAGTATGGAATCTTTCTGTATTGAATGTGCCTATCATTATAGCACTCTGTCTGTAATCGCTTATTTTGACTTTCCTAAAGGCATGCAGGAAAGTGTTTCTTGACGCTTTTAGGTAAAACACACATTGAACAATATATATAATGAAACCTGTTTCACATGGGCAAGTGAATCGGCGAGTACTCATAGTGTAACAGCGGAAGGCAAAACACAGATGCCAAGGTCTATTTTCAAGTGAGATCGAACCTCAATTTATATCTATACAGTTTATTTTCGTTGACCAATCACTGAGCATGTGGTTTTGGTTTACATCAGACGACATGAAATAGAATGTTCAAATACTTACATTATTCTGTTGCTAATGCACTACTGAATGTGAGAATAATATTCCGTTGGCACACATTATCTGTATCACACCACCACAATAGAAGTTGTCTAATGTGACAGTTTATCTTTCGAGTTATCGGAGAATTCAGCTGCAAGAGTTTACCAGTCTTAATTGCAGATATAAATAATATTCTTTTTTGAGAGTTTATGTTCTCATCTTTAGACAGTCGGTCAGAATCTTGCTTATTAACGCTATATCGATGCAAAAAATTTTCCTCAACATAAAGATGAAATGTTTTCAAAAGAAGAGAACCTCAAACTCTCTGAATAGAGCATTTTTTGCATCTACATTAAGACTGGAATTCTCCTGCAGATATGAGATATATAGGCAGAAATCCATCTTAACCCGTAATTTTTAACCAAACAGTTTATATTCCGTTTCAAGGAAGTAGAGCTTATGATATAAGAAGTGTTTCTGTGAACTCTGAATTATTTCTACATAGTTTTACTAGTATTAAAGTCAGTCCTGTTAAGTGATTCTGACGAGTAAATCTCTCGGGAAATGAAAGTCAGAAGTCAACTGTTAGTTCCTTTCCATGTGCCTTGTGATCCTTTCTTTTGTGTTTTGACTTTCACTACTTACTACTAGTGAGTAGTATAGTGTGTATTCACTACTTTTTAACCACGACTTTGTTCACCATCGGAGCTTAACTTACTTGATGCATTTTTACTCTGTTGATGTATAGTGATTATTTTCTTGTGGTTAAATATTATCTGCTCTAATTGACTTATTTATCTACCCTTTACTACTGAACACTGTTTATTGGCATCCTTTTATTCTGTGTCCAGCATACGCGCGCCGTTTAAATCTGCGCGTGGATCTCCTTTGACATAACTTTGCTGTTTTCTTATTGACACACATTGATTATGCTTTTCGTGGCATTTAGCCACCGACATCTCACAATTTGAGGTTCTTATACTATATTTCATAAGGCTATATTTAATATAGTACCGTATTCTAGACAAACCCTGTATATTTTAGATTTTACGCATCAGCCTACATGTGGTTTGAATAATCGTTTGGATTAGCATTCAATATTTCTTAGAAGAAAGTCCATATACACTGGATAGCCTTTATTAGACTACCGGTAAATAAGTTAAAATATTGAATCGTAATATGTACGTTAATGATACAGTGATAAAATGATCAATAAAGATACATGTGGTTCAAGTTTGCTCCTGGTCGATACGCTCCTAAACCTCCCAACCCGATAGTATACGCAGGTAGAGACGGACGCTTGAGCATGAGGCTAGCAAATCTACTTCATAAAAACAAAACGCTACAACTGTCGAACCTTCAGATCTCAAGTTTAAAGTCGAAGGCTCCACATAAAATACAAACGAATGAAAACCGATAACCTTAAAACCATTACATCACATCTTTTTTATTGAAGTCGTGAAAAAAACAAGGATACACTAGTCCTACTGGGAAATCTTACCTCTCCTTTCTTCTTCTTCTTTTGTTTATCATCTTTTTTAGGTGAAGGCTTTTTAGCCTTGCCTTTGTCTTTACCTTTACCCTTTTGATTTGCCTCTTCCTGTTAGAAAAAGGAAATATTAAACCACGGCGATTATTTTCAACAGTTAACAACAGGTTTTTTTGCACAGAGAAACAGCTAATAATAGTAGAGAACAATGTGAATCTGATGAATTTCATCGGTTCTCTTCAGCTGTGTAAGACGTGTAACATTTAATCAAAACAAGTTACAATACAGTTTTTATTAACATAGGTTTGTGTATCAACGAAAATCAGTCCTCAGCCAGAAGTGGTAACATTAAAACAACGTCTGATTAGTTATTTAGTCAATTTGCTGAAGCTATCATGATATGACGGCTCAAAATCGTGACCTGCTCTTTAATTATCGTGATTTTTCCTTCCTTAGTAATTAACTCTCTGTGTTTTTTCTGATTATATCACTTCTCAGTTTCCTTATTCATTTCATCTGGCTTACATATTAGAGTTCTTCAGTGAATGAAATATTCTCATAGTAATAGTCCTGACGAGGAAAGAGGAAAATCAGAAGACCACCACGTTCACGATGATACTTGTATTTTTCAGACAAAGAAAATAATGTGACTATCACACAAGTGTGTGAGTGAAAGGGTACGCAGTGTACGAAATGTGTGAACAAGTGTGTACAAGAGTCCAAAAGTGTACAATGCAAAAGTATATATGAAAATAACTAATATACATGAACCAACAGACGGACAGTCTTACCATGGGTGGTTGTAATGTCATGTGATAACAAGGTCATACATTCTTTATTTAGTTAATGGACAGACAAAAGCATACTGTCAGTTATAATGGAATATAGATCCATATACACATAGCAAAATATAACAGACTGTCAAAAACAAAACACACATCATGTGACTACATATCACAAAGAATTCATATGACCAATCACATACCTCTAAAATTTGTTCTCGAAAACGCATTACGTGATGTAAGATGAAATCTAGAAGAGGTGATTAATTGGAAATTAAGAAAGTCGGCAGAAGCTGGGGTGACGTAGTGAGTGTAGGAAAAATGACTAATCGATATAAATGTACAGATTAGACAAGGACTGGTGGAAGGCGCTTTTATAAAATCTGTATCTTCGAACACCTTGTCAACTCTGGACAACGAGCACTCACGCATGAATGCTTCACAGTGCTACATAGAGTCCCTCAATACCGTACGAAAGGACATCGAATACGCCATCTGTACATAGCTAAATCATTGGTTATTCAGGATCTGAAACCTCACCTCTGCATTCGAAAGCAGCATATACGTTCACTTGCCCTACCGTGGACAGAGTATCGTTCTCACTGTAATTTCGCTTCCTTTTATTATGTAAGTTTACTATTATTATTATTCTCATCCTTATTTTATTATAACCATACAACTATTTATTGATAACATTGCGTTTTTACGCGGATTTTATAAAAACACTTTGTCGTCTTTCCAGTGGTTCTTGTCCACTCTATACAATCTTACTGATTGTATTGTCATTTTTCTCACACTTATTACGTCATCCCAGCTTCTGCCCACTTTCCTAATTTCTAATTAATCACCTCTTCTAGATTACATCTTACATCACGTAATGCATTTTCGAGGACAAATTTTAGAGGTATGTGATTGGATATATGAATTCTTTGTGAAATCTAATTCCGATTGTACAGCAGCTTATGAAAATGAATCGTTGGAAAGGGGAAATTTTCTTCACTGTTTAGATCTTTTTCTTATTTCATATCAGACTTAATTTTTCATCCTTTAAATTCTGCTCACCCCATTACATCATAATATTTTCATTAAGCTTCATACATACCAAAGTGTGATTATTTTTTAGCTTCTGGGTTCTATCACTGTCCATAGTTTCAAACGTCAAAGCGTTATCCACTAGACTACTTGGGCCACGAGAGCCATGTCTTGTGCAACAGGTCATGGTGATAACCCTTTGGCGTTTGAAACTATGGGTACTGGGTTCCAGCCTCGGTGGGAATATCATCACTCACTGGGGAATGCAGGCATATCCAGTGACGAGTCCCAAATAGGACGAAATTCGCATCCTAGATTCCACTACTAGTCACCATCCACCAATTATATTCTATTAAATTCTCAGACCTCGTCGAAGCATCTGCACAAGAAGCCGATATGTCAACCTGAGACCGAACACTTCTGTCCAATCAATCGACGGGAAAATCTAAAATTCCTTTAGGGAAATGCTGCTCTTATACGACATATACATATATATATATATATATGCATCAGTCACTGAAGCTTCTAACAGTTAATTTGAACCACATAGTGAGGTAGAAGCATTCTGATTGGGTAACTCAGGATTCTGGAAGCTAATGTCTGCAGACCGTCAGTGGTGTGGATCAAAACCGTCCTCAATGGCACAGATGAATTCATTCTTTTTTTCCATGCTACGGTTGTTTAATCCGCACATTTCTGTTTATTATATTTGTTATGCATCTCTTTTCCTGTCTTTTCTCTATCTCTAAATGCTGCATACAGAGTGGTAACTCGGAATGATGCACATCTGTGCAAAGTTCTATATTGAAACCCAGTAATATATGTAGTATTACTTATCATTAATCTAAAGTTAAAGAGTAATTTCTTTTGATAAATAAAAGTATGTCAATAAAATTCCATTATAACCTGTTTTGATTGATGTGACATATAGTAAGTAACTGAAGAGAATTTCAGAAATACGATGGATCCATGTGATTTGTTCTCTCTCTGGCAAATTTATGAAGAGGAATTCGTATACTATATAGTTTTCGTATAAGCAAATTTGCTACTTATATTTACATTTTAGTAGTATACTTATCATTATTACAAAATTTGAATAGTATGATGCATTATGACCTAAAGTAAATTAAAAATCAAATTCAAATCCTACCGCAATTTTGTTTTCACATTTCGCGTTCAGTCGTCCTACCTTGCATCAGAAATTGTCTTCACATGTTGGATTGTGGGATCTGGTTAATTTCAATCTAGATTAGGTACCGATTCACTTAAAAATCTTCTGGGACCCAGTGGGTGCTCCACGGGTGTTTCGTCCCAGCTTGGGACTCTTCACATCATGTATCCACCAACCCATCTTCGGGAATCGAACCCAGAACTTGAAGCCTACAAGGCTAGCTCATATGCCCCTGAGCCGCTGAGACAGAATCCGATGACGAGGTAACTCTAACTTCTGCGTAATTGCAATATATAACCCAGCTGCCAATCAGTATTTCTCCTCACAGCCAAGTTGGTGGACTGCAATAGTCACTAGAAATTCAGACTATTCCACCCTGTAGTCAGTTACTAGCCAGAGCTAGACCGATATCCAATAATTGTCTGCCATAAATATGAATAATCCTAAATCCAGGGAAAGAGGAACTTAGACCAGTTTAAGCCAGTGTGGACAAATTAGCCCATCGAACCGGAGCAGAATATTTATCACAGTGTGATTGGATAATCTTGAAGTCTGAAATTATGCAATCAGTTATATTAGTTATTTGCTGGATTAAATTTCCGAGGTATATAATACTTGTATACAATGTACTTTTGCATGATAAAAGTCTCTTTGTTCCCACCGGATTGGACCAGTCTGTTTTTTCTGTCTTTATTTACGTGAACTCTGAGGGTCAGAAATGACTCGAAATCAGTATGGAGTATTCGATCTTCGGGTGAGTCTCTTAATACCTTCCCGTGTCGAACCCTAGTCACAAGACTATTATTGGCACCTATCATATCAACCCATATCGAAATTTGTGGATCAGTCATTTCACTCAGGTAGTGTTATGAATATCAATAAAATAATTCTATACTAACTTTCTCTTTTAATTCTCTTTCCAATTCCTCTGGTGTCTTTTCTTTGAATATGGCAGCAGAACCGCCTTCACCTTCTTCTGGATAGTCAGGAAATCGACCAGTTGCATCTCTGATAGATAAATAAATAAACAAATGAACAAGAAATCACCTGACAAAATTTAAATGAGATAAATAAAATTTATTTTCGGTTTTGTTTTTATCCAGTGAAAACTTTGTGAACGGCATGAAACCTCATTAACTGACTTCTCTCCTCCTTTGCCTAGCATTCTACGCCTAGACTGAATTTTATTATTATTATTATTATTAAATTATTTTTCCCTTGGGTTCTGAGTGGAACATAGGACTTCAACAACAATTCTACCTTTGTTCTATTTTTTGATGTCCTCTTTAGCTGGCCTGCGATTGCTCATATTCTTTCATCTCCGCCTGCATGTCACCCTAGATCCCACACTTAACCGTTACATCCCATTCACATTCCACTGGAGTGACTGTCTGGCCCACGATGTCATTCGACGGTCGCTTCAGTGTGTTCCTTATCCACATCCATTTTCTGTTGAACGACAGATACTTAGTTAGTTTTTTCCCATAGTTTCTTGTTTGCAAATTCTTTCTGGCTAGCAAGCCATCTGATATTCAATATGTATACAGCCAGCGAAAGTAGCTGTTGATGAAAGTCTACTGTGGTCTGTTTGAAAAGCTTTCCTGACGTACTGGCCAAGTTTCTGACGCATATAGAAGAACTGACTGACTCCAAATCTTGTTCCTCATATTCAGTGCAGAAGATTTCCAAACTGGCTTCAGGTTGATGAAGGTATATCTTACCTTTCTGATTCTGGACGGCTTCGACATCTTCATTCATGCTATCCGACTGCCTATGGCTGAAACCCTACTTCCTAGACAAGTGAAGTAAATGAAGTCTTCCAAGTTTCTCCTGCTAATAGTAATTGGTGCTGGTTGTTTTCGTTGCCGTTATTTGGTTATCTTCATCAGCTCCATCTTCTCTCAGTTCATCTGGAGCCCTGTCTTTGCTGACTGCTTCTTCAGACATTTTATTGCCTTTCGCCTGTAAGTCGACGAGTTTTTGTAACTTTATACACAAATTAACCAACGGGGGAATTCAGATCTTCTACAGTCTTCTTATCGGTCCAGGGTATTCCTGTCTTCTCACTTCCTATGCACAGTCTGACGCACAAACCAGTTCACCACCTCATCACCATAAAATACCACTTAATTCGGCATTTATAATGCGGAAACTTATGGTCAAAGATAGCTAGCCTCTTTATATCTTCAACTTTCAGTGATCATGTCAATATCTGCTCTATTTTAATTCATTTCAACTGCCTACTTACGCCTTTAAATAGAATATTACATCACCACATGAGTTTAAAAATAGTTTTCAATATCCAGTTGTGCGGCAGACGACAGTGCTACCTAAAGCCGGCAAAACTAAACCACTGGGACATTAGTCAACATATTCCAGCTTGATTCGAAGGGAAAACTGTACAGTTCAATATAAAAAACCTCAGCTCATAACTTATGACAAGAAAAATATATTGGAAAAGATCATTTCAATACATTTCGTCCTATAAAACCCTTTAGTGAGATGTGTTCCCCTTTTTTAAAATCAAAAATACACTTGACAGTTTTGAATAACTACCGTGTCCATCAATTTGCAAACCTTTCTATGAATATATTGCAGCATAAGTTATTTTAAGGCAACGTTATACTTGATTGCTTTCTATTTTCTTCTAATCAGGGGAAATAGGATGCGTAAGTTACTACTGAAGACGATAAGAAAACAAAGTGCCTTTGTCTCCCTGATTCAGGTTGAGTAATGTAATCTTAAAATTGCCAATTAATCCATATTTGTGGTAAGCATGAAGGATATGCTATGACGCGGTTGGATATTAACCATAAGAACATCCGACTAACAGATCCCAAGAAAGAATGAACACAAATGTTGAATTCCACTGCTGATCATCCCTAAACAGGTCATTTTGTCTCAAGGATGGTCATGAACTGACTTTATTCAGAGATACACAGAAAACCAGTTCAAAATACTGGACAGGTGTTTCATCCTAGTTTGAGACTCGGCAGCAGTACACACCGATGATCCCAACCACCAGGGATCTAACCCATGACCCTCATGTTACAAGGTGGGCTCTTTGACCTTTAAGCCTTCTAACTTGACCCCAGGTGGACTGATGAATCCGTACTATTGAACTGTGGCAAACTAGGACGAAACATTCATCCAATACTCCATGATGATTTCCAGTAGTTTTCTAACTGAAATGACCTTTTTTATTAATCTTCAGATCAACTAAATTCGTGTATAAAGACTCTTGAAAATGACATTCTTTCATTTGTCAGAAATTCTTCACATACTTATTAAATTCACTGTTTTCTAAACCAGAAGTACATAACATTCAATTGTAAAAGGATTCTATCGAATGAAAGAGTCGAATCCCTCCACACTCTAATTTATGCAATAAAACCCAATGCTAAAGTTCATGAGGAGAAATTAGATATATGCAAAACACCCAGTTTTAACTGAGACCATAGCATATTTACTGACTTTTAATGCTGGCTCTTAGCTTGAAGTTTTTAAGTCAGCTGTCACATTGTAAATTCAGTGCCTTCGGGTGCATCAAAACAACCCTTCTGAGGTCTCTGATTGTAGCGATTCGTTCAAAGTTGCAGATACAACTTACTGACAAGTGTCGATAAACACGAGACCTAGTTTCATTGAAACCCAACCACCTATCGTCAACCACGGCCACACCAACCACGATAGCTAGTCACCTAGCTTGGAGGTCACATTGCAAACTTGATTGGTGAAATAGAGTCAACACTGAAATGAACTACTAGACAAATAGAGTGTAGTTATTCCCTACTGACCAATCAGTACATCAATTCTGAGATCTACTATTAGCCTCAATATTTTGCACCCACTAAGGTGCGAACCCACGACCTCCCGGTCACAAGGCAAGCTCGTATACCATTCAGCCACTGGGCTCGAACCCAGTGGGTGAGTACCGCCAAAAGATTCCCAAACTAGGATGAAACTAATGTCCAGTACTCCTGGCTGGTTTTCAATGGTTCTCTAAGTGATATCAATCCCTAGTCAAACTTGTATAAACAACTCTAATCCTTACAAACCAAACTCGTGAATATACTTCGCGATTATCTCATATAATTCTTTGTGTGTCTTAGTCTTATTGAGTATCTAAAGAGAATCATTCCCATTCATCGATGATTTGCTCAACCTCAGCAATCTGTAAACAACCGTCGTGTATTTAGAACCCCTTTAGTTTGTCTAGTGAAAATTATCAATAATCGTTTTATCATCCAGCAGGAGAATAAAAGCCTTCCAAATCAATCGTGTAGCTCAAAAAAGACAACTACACCAAAAGCGTCCACCAGAAACTGATAAAACTGATTTAGTGCAAAACAAGTCTGTTGCATGTAGAGAGTTATGTACAACTACAGACTGCCACAGCGTAAGTCCCGATGTACGATTTTAGGGCTGACTGTGTCCAATGCTCCTTTCCTCAAGAGCTGCAAAGCAGCGTATCTGGTTTACTTGTCAACGACTTGGGAACGACCCCACTACTGCAATACCCATATTTGCCAGCAGTACAAATCCCTCTTGAGATTCCCCAAGATCGTGTAAACGCCTCTCACGACGATTATAATTGCTTTTAGTCTAACCATTACCTATGCAACTTTTCTGTTACGATAGGAACTGTGCAAGGAGTCAGTTATCTCCAGGGATTGTAGTATGTACAGCTACACAATAAATGTCAATTGAAGGAAAAACTAAACTGACCTGTATTCAATAAACCATTGACGCATTTGATCTCGCATTGTTTCACGCATATCAGGACCTTCTGTATCACGAATTTTCTCTTTCACTTTCACTAATGCTTGTTGATATTCTTGTTCATAAATATTTTGTGTTACTCTACGCACAGCATCGACCCGATCAGCCAGTTTAGTGATACTAGATTTTTGTGCAATATGATGTAGGTTTGATGGTACCTAAAAACAGTAGAAGAAAAAGAAATGACATCATTTATAAAGTGGTGTTGTGTGTTACTGACAAGAGTTTTTCAGTAGTATATTGAATGAAATCCGAAAAAATCTCGAATGGAGGAGTAAAGGAGGTTGATAATTTGAGTTATCTACGTGATTGAGAAAAAACAAACAGAATGTTACCTAAGTTTAACAATGAAGCACTAGAATGTGAGTGAAGAAGTTGCTTTTTGATAACACTTCCGCCACTCACTTCCAAATATCCAAATCATTAACAATACATATTTTAATTAAATGTTAATGAATCCCATAATCTACAACCAACACCACCACCACCCCCACAAACTTCATTCCCCCCTACATGATCTCTTTCATGTCCCTCTTGATTGCTCAACCCATTACTTCCCATTTGCCTCCCACTCGAGTTCCTGACATGTGGTTTCACTAAGCGGTCACCCCAGT